CGGTAACATCATGCGCACCTCAATCTGCTTGTTCTTTGGGATCTTCCGCCGAGGGATGAGTCTCGGGTCGAAGTCCGGCGGGAAGTACTTGTTCAAGACCTTGCGTTCCCCCATGCTGCGTCTGTCGCTTGGGTTTGATGTGTGGCACGCACCTCTCGATTATGATTGGTCAAATGCATATTCTAGTATGTACTATAGTATCGTTATAGTATCGTAGTAATAACCCTAGCGGGTTAATAGTACTCCGGAGTACAGTACAGTACTATTAATACGTAATATAGTACTACTAGTATTATTAATAGTAGTACCAGTATTATTAATAATAGTATACAGTATACTATTAATATGAACACACCGAACTATTTTTGGTATATTTTGACAATCACTACTCCTGTGCCCAGCATATTTGGCGGTGTGCCCGATATAATTACACTGTAGCCGTGTGCCCAAGTAATTGGCCATCTGCCCGATGAATTGTGCAATGAAAATGGAATAACTCAAATAATTACAGTAGTATATATATTTCATTGAATGCAAATCAGTTTTGGTGGATGGTTGAAGTTCGGAGGAAAACGCGCGAAGGCAAGAATTCGAAATTTATACTTGAATAAAGTATTGTTTAAGTTCATGCTTTCCTCCAACATTTTGAATGCTATGGTGCAAGTCACCTAAAGACTACAAATAAATGCCTTGACTTTCGACAGCTATTTCAACTTTGTATTGATATTGTTTAGGGCTCCTCTGGATGCCACATTTTATGTCATAAAATAGCGAATTTCTCCATAAAATGTAGAAATGACAAAGTCGTCAATTTTTGTCGTCTGGATACCACAAAATACAATGCTTTTATTCCAAAATTGAAGGCCAAAAAGGACAAAATTATGGCATAAATAGACCGAAAAGGTCCATTTCTCATGTAAAGACAGTCTATCAAACCAGTTTCGTCGAAAACCGCGCATTTCGAAAGATCGCTGTCAACCTCAGGAGTGAATCATGGGACTTTGGACGGACGAACTCGACATCTCCTGGCTCAAGGAGCTTGTGTACCAAGCGGTCGTGGTTGGGAAACGTGCGCGCAGTGGAGGCGTCGATCAAGGCGCTCAAGTAGCTCAACCATAGCCACCCTCAAGGCCCGCCGTTCACGATGCAACAGCTCAAATCAAGACTCGTCGTGTGCCGCGTAAATCGCCACGTTCCTCGAGGTCGAAGTCGAGTCCACGGAATGCCGAAAGGTTTTGATGAAGGCATCCTCGTTGCCTTCGAGCATTTCAGACACCCACATGGCCCCAATCAAGACAGAGACGCGTTTGGATGTCTTCAGCAGGTAGGCTGAATAGTGGTATGCCATGTACGCAACCATGATCCTTCGTCGGCGTCGTCGAAGGCGCTGTTGGAGCACACATAGTTGTAGCATCCGAGCTGCGTGCAACTTTCGCGCGCAATCAAATTTCAGCGAGATGACAGTTTCATCATGTGGATCCAGACGGTTTCTCAAACAATGTTTTTTGGTATTTTGGTCAAAAAGTGCAAAATCTCAAAACCCATTTATGGCATAATTTTTTGACATGGTATCCAGAGGAGCCCTTAGGAAAATATACCGTAATACTGTAACGATAGAACTGGACAAGCCCAACAGAAGTTACGGTTCAGATTTTCGATTGGTGAAAAATTGATCGAGTGATAGAATTTAAACCAACCGGCCTTTTTGTACGGAGATATATGGAACCAGGTACATTTTGGCCGGAAAGGAGTATCAAGTATATCTTGGACTTTGTACACAGCACTTATCCGTACGAACGTTTTCATTGTATCCGGATTATTCACAATGTTTAACGTAATTACCAGGTAAAACACGTAACTAATAATGATTTAACGTCAACATTTCGTGGGTTTAACTGAAAGAACCGAGTCGTTTAATAGTAAAACGTCTCCTCCTGAGGATGGCCGATCTGTAGTCTTTAGATGACTTGCACCATAATTATTCAAATCGCCAAGGAACGCACAGCAAGGGCTCTGGTAATAATAATGTCAATTAAAGTATTGCGGATTTGGTACAGAATTCCAGATTCCGTCGAATCGAATCTCGCCGACTGAACCTATCACAAACCTCGCCCATTGGTTAATCCATTCATGCTAGACTATGATTGGCTACTCGAAACCAGCCTTTCAGAGAACAGGCTTTCAGAGAACGTGCCGCACTGCAACTCACAACATCCACGCGGAGTCCGCGCGTGGATCATGATTTTTTCTATCCCTGACGCGGACACCACCATGGACGTTGCAGACACTCCCGCGAGGAATACGATATCCTCACAAAGCCCACGTCTAAG